TTAAACCTCATTCCTTATAAGAGCTTGCGACATTCTGCAGTAGTCCAGGAGTGCATAAAAACTGGCTTTTTGGAATACTGTAAAAAAAACTTGAAATGTAAAAATTTTGAAATTTTTAAAAATTCTTTTTATTCACAGTACAGTCGGACTATTTCTGCACTCACGCTCTATCTTAGGTATTTCAAGTAAGTTCCGATATTTTTTGCATCTTATAACTAATATCTTAAAATTCAGATGGTGACTAAACAAAAGTCCATTTTAAACCAAAAGTATCCTTCAAATACTAAAATTTTGAAAAGCATCCTTTTCGAAGAAAACACTCTAACTAGGCAGTTACTGTGGTATCTAAGGAAGACAAATATAAAATGAGAGCAATTCTGTATGGTTAGTGTTATTACTGGGATGCTCCTACACGCCGAGTGCAGGAACGCCAGGTCCTTCCATCATAAGCCGCATACTTCCAGTTATTATATACATTGCCTCTTCGTTGTATGTGCACCACTTTTTCAAGGGTTATTTAAGTGATCGTTTACTTTCTCGCCGGTACCACTCACAAATACACGATGTCCACTAGTTGTCGGCATGACGAACAATGTTTGCTTCCTCGCATAGCCGCAATGATAATGATGAGAAATACAAATAAATAGCAACGCGCACTAGCCTAGCCGGTGCGATCATGCGTTTTGTGCAATTCAGCTCATCGAACGATTGTCTATTAATTATTTTCACTGCTTTGTACTTTTGTCTATGCAAAAATAGTTCAAACATCAGTTAAAAATTTCACGCACCAGCGCATGAAAGCTGGATTCGAAGCCCTGAAGGGTGAATATTTTTTCGTGATTCCCGAGTTAATAGTTTACCCGCCGAAACTTTCATGACGCAGTAGGTGATAGCTGAGAGTGCGGGAATGCTGGATTTGAATAGGCAAGGTTGAGCGTTGGCAGTGGGTCATTACCCTAAAATTTCAGCCTCCTAGACTCCGTGGTTCCCGAGATATTAACTTATCCGTAAAAAACTTTCACGGGGCCGTACGTGTTACCCGCAGGTACGAGAAGGCTGAATATAAATTTGCCGCTTTATTCGCTGGCGGGGAACACTATACCAAAACTTTTTTTTTGTGGTTCCCGAGTTGAAAGTGCGGAACAAAATCAGGGACACAAACACACACACATACACACACAGACAATCTCGTGATAATATGCGTTTTGTAATGCTGTTACACAGCACAAAACACATAAAAATTGAAAACTGAAAGGAAGCCCCAGCAAAAAGCTGAACTCAGAAGTACCTGAGCAGTGCAGAAAGGTGGCCAAACGCTTGAAAACAGCAGACAGAAGTAGCGTGAACAGGACTGGCTGCAACGAGCCGACTAGGCCCAGCGAACATCGCGCTATCCAACCACTATCCTGCGCAAACTCGAACAATATCTCCTCGTCACCGAGCAAGCCCTCTTCATTTTCTTCCTCATACATCCCTCAACCACGATGTCTTAGTGCATCATCAACCACATATCCTGAAAAAAAAAGTTTCATGTATTTTTTTCGCGGATTAATTTTGAGGGGAAAAAGACGAGTTTCACGAAAAAATAAAGCTCAGGGCGCGTTTTTAACGAAACCTTTAAAGGTGTACGTATACAAACAAGTCTTTTCCTATAGACTTTCCCGAATTGGCACTAGAGAGTTTTAAGAATGCTCATTTTTTGGCTCGTTTGAAACTTTAATTACTGGAAGAGGTTCACAGTTGTAGCAAAATAGAAGAACTGGGACAGCAACCAAATCTTGGTATGGATTTCGACCTAAGCAGCTGACAACTTACCCAGCTTTTTTGATCAGTACTAGTTTAGGTGGTGGTCAGTCTGTTGGCGATCCTGACGTTCGTTTTTAAGCCTTTTGGGCTGTGCAACAGCAGTACAAAACATATATTGTCTCTATGTGCGTGTGTGCGTGCATGTGTGTATGTGTGTACGTGTGTGTGTATGTGTGTGTGTGTGTGTGTGTGTGTCATAGATCTTGCGACTTTTGAAGAGATTACCATCTCAAAAGTCCACCTAAAGTTTTAGCCATTTTGAAGTGTCCGCGGTATGTGCTCAGAAGTCCAACTCGCTCCGCAAGCTATCACTTCCGAAACCGCAAGAAAATGGTATTCTGCCAATTTCAGGCTATCAAAACTCACAGAATAAGTATTATGTGTTCGAGTAGCGCGAGGATTTCGTCGCACTAGATTCCAGTCAACAGATTGGGAGACTCTTGTACTTCTGCTTGCGCGAAATATTCTCAAGCAAGCTCAGAAATACCAAAAAGGATGCTTTATGCAAGTTTATCCTTTTTTCTCCCGCCACTGTAATCGAGTTTTAGGTTTGGTAATTCCGAAGTAAGCCCGCGGTACCCCGGAATTAGCACTTTCCATCCCATGAAATATCCCCCGATCAAATCCTATACAGTCCATCAAAAGTTAAACTAAGCAGCAGTGATATTTTCCAGGACCCTGCACACCCGGCCCGACACAATCCAACCGTATCTCAACAATCAAACACTGAAAATAATGCATTCGTATAAAATTAACATCCGTCAATATACTGTAGGGAATTGCTGCAGCACATCCCCTGTGAAGTACCACGGCTCCGATTCCACGCCAATAATCCAACTATGGAAAATTTGGCCTGGTAATGTGGCAAGAATGAGAGACAACAGATGGACAAAAAGCGGACTATTTAGTGATACAAACAACAATGCGGCAACTGTGGCGATTTTGATTATTTTCACGAATCGGGCTTTATATACAATCTTATGCGGTTAACAGTAAAATAAAATAAAGAAGTTTACTAGAATTGTTGAGACACGACGATGAAATTTATAGTGATGACACATATAAATGACGATGAAAATAT